AAAAAAAATGGAGAAGGGGAGACAAGTATCTCCCCTCTCTCTGTCTTCTCCTTTAGAGAATGGGAGACAAGTCTCTCTCCTGACTCTCTTTTCCTTCAAATCTTTCCCCTTCTAGTAGAGACGAAGAGACACTCTTTATCTATGTGGAGCCAAAGGAGACAAGTCTCCCTCTCGTTCAAAAACTCCGATGTTGGCCACAGACTCGGGAAGACAAGACTCTTCCCTCGGTGTCTGGTCAATTGCAGGGATGCGCCCACGTTACAGCCCAGGAATCAGTCAGGGAGGCCTACTGAAAACGCTGGTAGCTGCTCACTCCTTCTCCTAGTCTCTACTCTACTCTTTTCCTTAAAATTTACCTCCTTCACTATGGGCAACATTCAGCCCTCTTGTTCCTTAATCCTCACCTCTAGCCTGAGTCCTATAAAGCCTAAAACTTCTTCAACTGTTGCCTGATCTGAAACCTAAATTTCTCTGTAACACAGCCGGGCCTCAATCCAAATGGCCAGAAGATGGCACGTGCAATTTTTCTATTCTGCAAGACTCAAACAATTTTTGTCAACAAAGGGGCAAATGGTCTAATGTGCCAGACGTCCAGGCATCTTTTAACACTCTCGTCCCTCCCTAATCTCTGCTCTTTCTCTCCCTTCTGCCCCTCCTGCCTCCACCAGTAACCCAGAATCCTTCTTGACCATCAATCCTTCCACCTTTCTCCTCCCCGTCTGTCCAATCCAGGCCCACCCCCCACCCCCAGAGCCTTCCTCCTCTTCCTCTGCCCACAACCCACCTCCTTATGCCCCTCCTGTCACCTCCCCACCTCATACCTGGTCCAGCTTACAGTTTAGTCTGGCAGCTAACTCCTCTGCCCCTGCTCAACGATTCCCCTTTCCAGAGGTGGCTGGAGCTGAAGGCATAGTTAGGGCGACCTTTCCTTTCTCTTTATCTGATCTTTCCCAAATCGACCACTGGTTAGGCTCCTTTTCATCAGGTCCTCCAATACTTATACTTAACCCAGTCCTACAGTCTCACCTGGAGTGACTTAAATGTCGTCCTTACTTCTTTTTTTTTCTTTTTTTTTTTTTTTTGAGACGGAGTTTCACCCATGTTACCCAGGCTGGAGTGCAATGGCGTGATCTCGGCTCACCGCAACCTCCGCCTCCTGGGT